GAGGAATGTTGGCCAATTCATTCATTTGAGTAAAAAATACATATACATGACTTATGAAGACTACCACCCAGTGTGAGTGTGTTGCTTAGAGACAGACAGTGCAGCTAAACACCCAAGGGGGTGACGGTTTCACTCCTTTTGGGTGTGGTGAAGGGGGTTGAATACAGCTGTCAGGTTTATGGTCCATTTAAATAATATTCCCCGTGTGTACCAAATCTCTAAGATGGATATGTAGATTCCAAAATCCTTTTGAGAATTAAGATTTTAGAAGAAAATTAATCACTTAAAAGCTAGGTAAGTAGGTGGTGGTGGGGGGACGTCAATCCAGTTACTAAATTGGGCATAAAAATTTAAGGTACATGCTTAATGCAGAGCGGTGTGCCTTGTAACCAAGTGACATTCCATCCTGCCGGCCTCAGAGTTTGTGTTTTGTTTCCTCTGCTGTTTATGACTCACAAACCCTTTAGGAAGTTAACACTGTTTTGGGAAAACAGTTTAATGCTTGGATTCTAAATATTATAAATTTAGAGAGGCAGTGAGTCTGATCAGAGAGCAGAAAGCTAGAGTTTAAAATGGTTTTTAGCTCAAAAAAAAAAAAAAAAGGATGATTGAGTAAGGAAAATAGAGGAGCAGACTAATAACAGTCGCCCGCAGCCCCCGCCCCTGGAAGGTGCTGTACTCTGACCCATGGCTCTGTATGGACACAGCGTAGACACTCGAGTTTCCTACAAAAAGCTGGGTGGGGGGGTGTTGACCCAGACATGTGTACAGGTGTGTCAGGTGGGGGATGGTAACCCAGCCAGTATAGGTGTGTCATGTGAGGGATGTCAACCCAGCCACGTGTATGTACAGGTGTGCAGGTGGGGGATGGTAACCCAGCCACGTGTACAGGTGTGTCAGGTGGGGGGTGGTAACTCAGCCATGTGTACAGGTGGGAACTGTGCAGGAACCCTCCCTCAGAAAGCAAGGGCGATCTGGATTCTGAATCAGTAGTTAATTTTCTTAGGAAAACAGTGCTATCTTTACAGAAGGATTTTGCGTAGACTCTGAACGAGCCGAGTTCCAGGCATGCGGGTGCAATGATTACTTTCAGGAGCCCCGCCAGTACACTAAGTGGGGTCTGAACCCAACCTCACAACTTTGTGAATTGTGTGCATTTCAAACGCAAAGTGCCTCTTTTTCCTCTGAAACAATCTGTTCCCAGCCAGCTGCGGTTCTGCAGTGTGGGGCGCAGGACGCCATCTGGGGACTTTTTTGGTCTTCACAGTATCAGGGGCTGGAGGGGCTCTCCTGCTGTCCGTGGGTGCAACATAGAGTCTCACGCCCTGAAATGTCAAAAGTGCCACAACTGAGAAACCCTCTTAGTTAGAGTTGACTCTTTGTAAGCACCTGTGTGAGTGGAATAAAAGGAGTTGGGGGTGACGAGAGAGAAGGGCAGCTGTGTGCTCAGAGAGCCAGGTGCTGTGGGGGACACTGTACCCTCTCTGTGCCTTGCTTTCCTTATCTGGAACATACGGAGAAGAGGCCAGATGCCTTCCAGCATCGGACCTTTCCACCTGCTCTGATCCTGGGAGCTGGAACCGTGTCCAGCCTCCCTCCGTTCTGTGCACGGGGTTGATTCGTCTTGTGGCTCGCTCACTTTCACTGGGACTCCAGAGTCCTGCGAGTCCCTTCATGTCATCCTGCACCTTCCTGCTGTACTGCTTCCACCGCATCAGGAACGCTCAGGACTCAGTGAGGCTAAAATGAGAGAGCTCTACTCTTCCTACCGTGTTTCCCCCAAAATAAGACACTGTCTTATACTTATTTTTTCTCAAGAAGACACACAAGCGCTTATTTTCAGGGGATGTCGTCTTCTCTACTCTGAAATGCATGGCATGGCTATGCAGCGTTATCTGCATAGCCACGCCCATCACTAGGTCTTATTTTCGGGGTAGGGCTTATATTTAACGAATGCATAGAAATCCTGCTAGGGCTTATTTTGGGGGTAGGTCTTATTTTCGGGGCAACACGGTAGCTCACTCAACCTACTAAAAAGCCTCACACAAAAAAAGCTTCAGTGGTGCAAAAGTACCTGTCACAGACTGGACACGTACTGGGAAACCCTCCTGGTCAGAGGTTTCAGTTTCCTGCTGTGCTGTGCTCCCCCCCTCCATGTTGGTGTAGTTGGCGTAGTTCCTCATGTTGCCCGTCTCTGGGTGTTGGCCAGTTTCTCTCCCAACTCACAGAGGCTTTCCTGTACTTGCTGAACTTCAGTACATATTCTAGTTCAGTGACTTGTTTTCTTTTTTAACCAAAATTCTTTAGCTAAAGGTTAGGATGCTGAGAATTTTGTTTTTATCTACGTAAAAACATAGAAAGTTACCTATGTAATAAATCACAGCTGGCAGGGCTGGATGGGAATAAAGAGCTCAGGTAAACCAAGGAAAGGCAACCACAGTTACTTCCTGTGTATTTTTGTAAAAGATTCTTCAAAATTAACTTGGAAAGTCCTTATTCGCCATCATTCGAAAATGTGTATATAGCCTGTGGGTAGTGACCACGCAATGCATTTGCTTTGAGATTTGTAGTTGCAAGCTATTTTTTTGAGTGCCTTTTTTTGGACCTTTGTAATGACTGTGCTTTATTTACTGTCCGAATTTGAGGATATAAGACCAGAGGTTTCCAGCTGTGCAGGATACAGAGAGAAGCAAAAACTCCTCACATTGTCGTGGCTGCCGAGTTGCACCATTCCTGCAGCAAATAATCCAGGAGTCTGCTCAGAGCCGCGACGTTCTCTCAGACACACTTGTTGTTGTTTAATTTCTTTTCCTTAAGTCGTAACTAATTTTTTTCGCATTAGGTTATGTCTTAATTCCATAGCTTCTTATTCCATCTCTAATAATTTCTTCTAACGCTGTCTTACGAATGAAACGCTCAGAGTGCAAGTACAAATCTCAGCACAGGTTTGCATTTTGGCTATCACATTTTCTTAGGAGTGTGTCCAAAAGTGCAGAAATGTCACCACATTAGGCGGAGAAGACAAGCAATTTGGAGAAGCAAAGCTCTGATGACTGTAAAATCCAGCCCTGTCGCGGGTGCGGACTGAGAGGTGCGGGGACCTTCTCTGGCAGCTGCGGGAGGCGTCTGCTGTAGCATCAGCAGGGATCCAGCCCTGAGAACAGGGCACCTTTGTCATCTGGGCATGTCTGTGGCTTAGCGGTCAGGGTGCTGGCCTGGCTCCTTTCTCACTGAAGTATGACGGGGCTTTATTCCAAGTTCAGATTGTTGGCAGAATTCAGTTCCTGTGGTTGTAGGACTGAGGCCTTCGGCTCCCCTGATTCCCTGGACAGATCATATGACAGCAGCTTCTATCTTTAAGGCCGCTTCATTCTGCAACATAATGACTGGAGGTAACATCTGGTCAGCCTTGCCGTACGATGTGACGTAACCTAGGGACCTGCACCCGTCCTTTGATGTATTCTGTGGTATAGCAGCAAGTCACAGGTCCTGCCCATACTCAAGTGGAGGGGATTATCCCGGGGACAGGACTAGTTGGGGCTAAGCTCTGTCCCTGACAGCAGCCTTTACACTGAGTCCCCTCATTAAATATCACAGAAGTTCCAACTGGATGTGCACGTGGTCTTTTTTGGTCTTTTTCTAAGTAAACAAGAGTGATTCTCATTCAGCACCAAAGTTTTGCTGACTATAAAGGTGCCTGAAAATCTGTGACTTGGACACCGAAGACACCTCCCGAACCACCTAAAAATAATTTAGTGCTGTTGGCATAAGCCGTGGTGGTCTTTGTAGGGGCTGTTACCGCTGATATGCTCTGGTTTGTCCTCATGCAGGAGTTGCACTGCCTGACCTTCTCTCTGGGGGGCTTTGCTCTTGCCTCTAACTAGGGTGGTTGGAAGGAAGCCACACTCCGTCCTGAGGGCTGCCTCGGACACAGTGGGCCCTGTGATCTCCACGCACACTCACCTGCCCAATGCAGGTGTCCTGACGAGGGTATCTAGCTCCTCTAAGCTACTCTCGTGGACATTCCCTCTCACGCGGCGTGCACCCAGAGGTGGGGTGCCTGTGCAGGGTGTCGCTGAAACATTTAACCGTTTACACTTTGGCAAGTGAAAGGTGTTGCAGTCAGTCATTTCTCTTGAAACTTGTGGTTACTCTTCGCAGGGGTGTGGACGTGACTCACTCTCCTCCATCTGTCTGCACAGTGCTTCCTATCTAAGCTGCATCTGCCCAAGTGTGCGTCAGGGTCTCATTCACAGTTAGAGCCACAACACACACAAGAGCTGTACCCAGTAAAAAGTTAGTTGTCTTTTTCGTGCTCTGTTGCCCTGAATTCGGTTTCATTAGTGTGGCTTATACGTTATGCTGCCCTGGCCTTATAAAGTAAGCCAAGTCTTC